AAATGGGAGGGTCAGATATTAATATGATTTAACTTGGAATGGCCCAATAACTGCAATTAGTAATTTAAATGTTCCTGTTATCTAATGAAACAGAATAACAATTAAAATAACAAAAAAAAAAAAGCACGCTCAAACAAAAAAAGGCAGTCAATAATGGATAAAAATAAACATAACGTAAAGACAGAAATAGACGGCTCTGACAGAAGCCACCTGTAGCCAGTACGCAGTGGGAATAGAATATGTTCTAAATTGGGGAGTCCTTGTTTAGTCGATATACCGTCTGCTTCAATGAGGAAATTTTACTGGGTCGCGATAATGCAGTAGTGTAAAAAAAAAAATGAGATAGACGTCCAAAATACAGCCGAAAAAACAGTACAATCTTATCTCAAATGATATAGCGAAGGTATCAAGAACAGCTGTAACAGTTATGATGAAACATGATATCAACTGTCCATTTTCCCACACCTTGGGGAAGGTCAGGTTTAAATATTTCACCATTAATTAATTATTTATTTATTTATTTATTTATTTTCGAAGATGACGGGACATTTAATATATATTTTTTTTCTAAATGAGTTCTAAAAACATCTCGTTCCCATTTCCATCCAGTGGGTTGATACGGCCTATCAAAAGTTCTTGTTATTTTCTACTGCGGGTAACATGATAGAGAATTCCTAGACCTTGGGATAAGAGAATTTTTTTTTTCTCTTTAGTCTGTGGTACAGACCTCTGTTAATCAATTTATTAACATCCACCTGAAACTGTGAGTAGCTTCATCTCATCGTAACCTGCAAATAGTTTATTTACGAAAATTCTCGGAATTGGGACTTTTTAAATCTGGGAATGGTCAAACTTTCTCTATTTAATTAGGTAAAAAATACACATGAGTATCCATTTTCTTTCCACTTCAATCACATAATAATATAAACATAAAATTGAAAAAAAAAAAAAGGTGGCCTACAAAAGTTTGGGGAATTTGGTTTATATAAACTCCTTATTTTTACAATTTGGTGGAAGAGGTCACGCCAAATGGCAAAATAGTTTTGTAGGCCACTTTTTTTTTTCGATTTTGTAATCATATCATCTTATGATTCGAGTGGAAATAGAATGCTTATTAGTGAGTTTTTAGTACCTGATGAAATATACTACGTTTGCCCATCTCCAGATTGAAAACACGAGAATTTTCGTAAATAAAATATTTGTAGGTTACGATGAGATGAAGCTATTCACGAAGTTTTAGGCGTATGTTAATAATATGATAAAAAGGAGTCTGTAAAATGAACTATATTTACAAACCCAAATGATAAATAAGGTTTTGATTCAATGCTTTAACCAATTTTTATAAATTTTTATATTATTAGAAATATTGTTTCTTCTTCCTGTGTTAGTGCATTTGATTTTCATAGAACCGGACCCGTTTAGGGTTTCTACTTACATTTTATAATGTATTTTGAGGCCAAGTTCCTAACAGTAAAATATCATATAACTAACATAAATCACTAAATTGTATTGTTAAACATATAATTGTATTGTTAACTTGGCCAAAATCATAATCAATTAAACATTAGGGGAATACCAGCAAACACCACCGGCTGCTTCGGAAAATGATGAAAAAATCTTAGGCAAAATCATATGTTTTCTCTCCGAAGAAGGAATCTTAAGGAAGAAAATATCATTAATTATCAGCATATTTTGTTGTATTATTTTGAAAAAGGTAAGAGTGCTGCAGAAATTCATAGAAAAATGTTCAGTGAAACCCTATTTGCTTTGCCAAATTTCATTCAGGAAATGTTGACATCAATGATGCTCAACGATCTGGTCGCCCATATGAAATTGAAACAGGCAATGTTAAGGCTATTGTTAATCAAAATCCCACCCGATCAGTGCGAGAGATTGTTTTGGCCCTAAATGTGTCGCGCAAGCGTAGAAAACCATTCGCACAAGGTCGGCTATGTTTCCAGGCTCAATGTTCGGGTTCGTCACATGATTTTATTTTCGAAAATCATAAAAAATGTTAAAACTTCAATACGACTTTAGCTGTCTACAAAAATTTAGTAAGAATTTATAGCCACATAAACTACACTAAATGACATGGACCTTCATAAACAAACTACAAATAGAGATAAAAAATAAAGACCTATAAGTAGTTTTTGTTTATTTATTACTTGTGTAGGCATTTAATTAAAAAAAACATTATATCCTTGAAGAGCGGCAATTCAGCTTTCGAACGGATATAGTAACTTCGAATTTGGGAAACATCCTGAAGAGTTATGAATGATCGGAAGGGTGTTGTGTTCCACAAGGACAACGCTAGGCCCCCTCCCCCCACACCTCATTGGTCAATCACAATAAATTATTGAGCCTTGGATAGGACCATTTGCCCCACCCTCCCTATTCATCAGATCTAGCTCCAAGTGACTACCACCTATTTCGGTTTCTGCAGAAATTTCAGTCCATGAATTGACAGAAATTCCAAAATAACGAGGACATCAAAAACCACTTGGATCAGTTTTTTAACAATAAACTTCAGGATTTCTATGAACATGGAATTATGCAGTTAGTAAAAAGACGGAAAAAAGTCATATTAAATAATGTTCAATTTATTGTAGATTAAAATAAAATTTATGTCTGTAATACATTGAGTTTTATTTATATTATTTATCAGAGAAAAGCCGAGAGGGCTTATTTTTCAACCTAATATAAACTAGTTACTTTCAAACAAAAATTTTATCTTTGCTTCAATCAATTATTTTATTAAAAAGTTATTGATTTGTATGAAACAGGAATGTTTCATCCAATCCTGACATTCTTTCCCAAACCAAGTAGATAGCCGGCTTTAGACACAATTATTGTGCATTAAACAATAACCAACAACAGATGGTAACATTAAACTAAGGAACAACGTTATCCACAAAAACGAAGATATTATAACAAAATTTGGATTAATACAATAAAAATTTAAACTCCGAATTTACTTTAAACGATGTATGGAATTGTTTTTTAATTTAATTGTTTGCTTCATCCACATTTTTGTGGGGAATATTTTCTCCCACACGAAAAAAAAAAATAATGCAATGAGCTTACAAACGGATATCTATAAGATTCGGAGAACTGGATTGATATATCATAATTCTAAACACGTTTGTTACAAATAGCCTCAAAAATATTGATAGGTTTTTTTCAAATTTCCTGATATAAGACTATATATATATATATATATTGTCATAGGATTGGATGGCACGTGGGGAAACCTTCTAATCAACATCAAAATAGTATGAGAAATTCTTATGATAATATTTTTCTTAGTTATAAATTCATATATTTCCATAACATCCAATTCATTCTCAAGATGCTTCATTATTACAATTTTTTATACTCATATGTTCTACAAACATTTTTTGAACTGTTAAAGGTTCCATTATAATGTAACCTATAACGCTTATTTTTTTTTATATCCGTCATCAAAATCAACTTTTACCTACCCAATCACTCACAACTTAGTGATAAATTTTTCTTTTCTTGCATTATTTTTAGTAAAATTTATTTAAATCTTCGTGGTTATACGCCGCAAGGAGAATACCAATGACGATGATCAATTATTAGAACAAGAAAGTATTGAAAATAAAACAATGGTTATGTTATATTTGTGGAAATAAGCACAATTTAAAATATGATAAAAAAAATTATGTCCACTAAGCAATGTCAATGTGAACTAACAATGTCATTCCTATTGCATGCATAATCTCCTATATTTCAAGGCCTATGTTTAAAGGTCTTACTGTATTTTAGATTCTATCCATATATATATATGTTTTAATATCTATCGATTACTACATTGTAAATTTGAGAATAAAATCAATAGAATTGTTCAATCTATGGAAAAGTCTAAATTATAAACTTGTCAAATCTATTGCAAAGTCTAAGTTATAGACTTGTCAAGAAAAATACTTTTAAGGATGTATATCCAAAAGTACTTGAATGAAATTGGATCAAATTGATGTTATATCATATCTTTACATTAGTACACAACTGTTATCTAACTTCCAGACAAATTGGACGTTTTGAAATATAGATGTGATAAGATAAGTTTGCAAATGTATCAGCAAAAATAAGGCATTAAATTTGATTGAAACAAATCTGATACCGTTTAAGTAACAACTTTTATTATTCGTGAGAACTCATCAATATCAAAATAACCGTAGTAGGTGTAATGTTCACTGTAAGACCAAGATCGGACGGAGGAGCTCTAACGATTTTAAGGTAGGGAAATGATTGCACCAAGGCGACCCACTGTCAGTTTCGTTTTTACACCTTTTATTGGAGTCCGCAATTCATAAAATAAGGACAAATCCAGGTGGTACCATTTTCAAACGACTGACACATCTGGCATTTACGGATGGCGGGGTAATCTTGGCAAGAACAGTTCAAGCTTTATCACGTGCACTGGAGGAGTTACTGAGAGCTGAAAGGTAACTTTGGTTTGAGATTAATGTCCAGAAGACATTGTGTATGCAGACGGCAAAAATGTATGGTGAAAAGCATTTAACAGGTATAATGAAGAGACTTTAACTGAGTGAGTACAAAATATAATGTTTTCCAGAATTCAGGTATTTTTGTAGTTTGATAACCACCGATAATTTGACAGAAGCCAGAATCGCTATGAAGAACCGGTGAATGGGTTTTCAGAATGTTCTTCTGTTTTCAGAAAGACTGTGGTTGAAGATCCTCTAAAAAAAGGCAAAGATCTTAAGCTATAAGACAATAGTAATGCCGACTGTCCCCTATGGAAGCGAATCATGGAAATTAAAAGCAGAAAATAAGGGATTTTTGAAAGTATGGGAAAGAAACATTCGCCGAGCATTCGGTGCAGCGAAAGTGGGAAGTGCCTGGTGAATTAAAACACGTAAAGAGTGCAGGAGAGGGAGACATACTCTGTTATATTCAGCTGGTCCGATTAAGGTGGTCGGGACATAGAGAATGAATGGACTCTGGTAGTATCCCTACGGAAAGCCAGGTGGTGGAGGAATGCGAAGGAGGCCTCGACCGAAACGCTTTAGGTCTACACCGTTGGAGAACATTTGCTATGGGCAGAATGGATCGAGTAGTTAATGCAGACCATGGTGCTATATGGACTGTAGTGCCAATGTGTGAGTAAGGTTTAATGTTCATAGGAAGGATATTAATAAATGCAAACACAATACAAAATTTGTGTATAAAACGTAAAACGCGAAAGGAAATTTTAGATTTTGTAGACAATTAGTTTTTACTTTCTGCATGAATACATAGGTTCCCTAGCTTAACTCGCGAGGGAGGTGATGTATTAGAGTTCAAAATTAATGTGTTTTTTTGTTTCTATCCAGCCCTACCTTGCCTTTTCGGCTTTTTGGAGTTTTTCCCGAGCTTTAATACCAGAGTTAAATGGCCTCAGCACCGTGACTTGATCTCGTAATTTTCAGGTTATCAGTTTGCTGAGGAGCGCAGTAGCTCAGTGAATTAACCAATGGGTTGTTAACTCAAGATCCCGGGTTCGAATTCGGATGATGCAAAATATTTTTGAGGCGGGGTTTCAGTTCTCGTTCTGGAACCAGGGAGAAGGAGAGCTTTTAACTCTTGCAATACCCTCATCCCATGGTCGAGAAAAACCTCGTGTCGACTCAAAGACAAGGAAATGGAGGACAGAAAATAAATAAATAAAAAGGTATCAGTTTGCTAGGCAATGGGTGTTAGCTCAGTCGGCCAATCCACTCCTCTATAAAAATAATAGTTATAAGGTAACTATTTAAAATGCCAAGATGCCGGAAAATGATGCATGGTCTTATATAGGCCGTGTTAATGGATCTCCTGTAACACCTAGATATAGTTTCCAATCGAAGGACTAATTAAATAGATTAAAACTAATTAATTAGCAATATTTAAAATATATATAAAATTTCATCAAAAATAAATAAAGTGAACTAACATTTTAAAAATCAGGCATACTCATATACATTTTTTTAAACTTGTCTATTGAGAAATATTAACATCTGTCCCAGGCTCATATACAGGGTGTTTTATAGGACCTTGAGAGCGACAAAAAATTCATATGAACACTGGGCCAATTTTCTTTTGTGAGTTTTAAGTGAGTCATGTTTTTTATTGAATCGAAAGCAATAACTATAGAAATATTTAACTTAAGTAATCAGTAATTACTTCATTGTAAACAAGATGAAATTTACTTTAAATGAACATAGAGTTTAACATTGGTAAAACCATTTAAAGAGGACTTTTGAGCGGCTAAACTATGCTGAGTTCTGTTTTTAGAAAAATCATAAATTATTCGCCATTTTTATTTTAATATCATCCAACTATAATACAGTTACCACAATTTTACAAAAACTTCTCCGTTTAATAAGTTTTAAGTTCGTATTAATTAAGGTTCATATTAGTTGTGGTTTATTAGGTAAAAATTCGAGATTCAGCTCAAGTTTTGTAAAACAAATGATATTTTTTATCCTGTCAAGTAGAAGTACTCCTGTTTTCAGCAAAAATTACTACAATGAATTGTTGTAAAGCTTTCATTTCTTGTTTTTTCTTACACACGATCATTTTGGTGATTAAATTTTTCTTCAATTATAAAATTCAATTCTCATGGCTAAACAAAATCTTTCGATGAAGACCATAGATGTAACGGCCAAGGCGCACTTTACATCTATTCACTCTAAATTTTTTTTAGGGAAGTGGTTACTCTTTTTCCTGTCATTAATCGAAATGCACCCATCCTAAGGTCACTTTTTATTATGCGAGACATTGATCTTACAAATTTTCCCATTTTCTATGACACGAATTGTTGTTTTCAAAGTTGTCTTCTGATTCGAACAGCTACTGCTCTCACCGCATTTGCCGTTCTCACATTGCGGGGACGGCCCAGTTAAGGTCTGTCACATACGTATAGGGTATCATTATATCTATTTATAGTACGGTACACGAACATACGGTTGAAAGCCAAAGATTTCAAAGTGTTGAAAATCTCTGGCCTACATTTTCCAACTTTATGTAAGGCGATCCCAGCTATTCGGTTTTTTTTATCGCTCCAGTCCATATTAATTGAGCGAAAGGATTATTATCCTGACATATAAAGAAAATAATCTGACAGATGTAAGGATTATCTAAATAATACCCAAGGATGTAAACAAAGTTCAACTTCTGTAACAGTATTTATAGCAGAACTAGGTATAAAAAAGCTTGAGAAGTGAGCAGACTTCTTCCAAAAATGTTTTTGAGAGACAAGACGTGATTGCTCGGAGGTGGCTAAATGTGCCCGACTGTTATGGATTATGCTAGAGAATTTGGATAATGTGTAAGATTCTTGAGTAATTAAAAAAAAAATTGACTGGGATAGAACAAATATGTTCTAGAAGTCATATTGTAGTGTTTTGTAGGTTTCATTATCCGGCAAAATTTATCAGTTCGAGATCCTAGTTCGAGTATTTCAGGATTGTCTTGCAGATCAGTGTAATTCGTTGTCAATTGAAAGATGAGTTCTTCTATTCAGCAATCTTAAACAATGCATGACGTAGAGCAGGGTAACCCGAGCACATACCTTATTTTGAGGATTATCAAAAATTAGTTACAGTAGTTAATAAAGCTACTAAATTGGGGCCATTAAAATAAATACAATGCAAATATAAAGTAACATACGATGTTCTTCAAAATGTGTCTCCCTTTTAATTTCCCTCCTGAATTGTATTTTTATTTTTGCGGAGAAGACTTATGAAGTGACCGTCTTACTGATCTTAAATCGTCATTCTTGTCTTTTAAACATGTTTGATCCAGTTTGACTTCTGTCATTAGACAAAAACATAAACATCAAATCTACTCACAAAGCTGACCGGGTGAGGCAGAGAAGGCTGCGGCTGGCCAGCCCCCAAGACCCTGCGCAGGTGCGCGATATAGCTGGTGGCGAGGCGCAGCGTGTCCAGCTTGGACAGCTTGGTGTCGGGCGGGACCCAGGGCAGGGTAGTCTTCAGTCTGCTGAACGCTCGCGAGAGCACTCTCATCCGCGCGCGTTCTCTGGCGTTCGCTGCGTTCCGAGCAGGCCGCTCCTCCTCCTCAGAGTCGGTCTCCAGGCTTCGCCGTCTGGGCATCTGCAACAGACGTCAGGTCGCTTTGAAAAATAAATAATCAAAAAAGTATCAAGTAGGATTTTCGTCTTAATGTAACCATGCCCAAACTGAAAATGTAGCCCTATAATTATTGGTACACTGTTATAATAACATAGTACACTGAAGATCCCTTTACGCTTAATAAAACCACACCACATACTTTTTTTTCTTTTTTTTATTATTGAAATTTACAACTGTATAATGCTCAATACAACTACTAAATATGAAATAAGTAACTTGACATGTACAATATGGGAGAAACTACCCATTGGTAGCACTCCAATTATATTTTATATTAGAAGGTCCCCCGAGGCCACCTTCTTTTCAGACGCCTCGGAGGATTATCAGGAATAGAAGAGGAAGCAATGTTGGAAAGAAGAGAGTTTGGATGGTTCAGAAGTTTATTATGGAAGGATAGGTATCTGGATTGACATATATCGGAAACATATGGAATCATTATGGTCATTGTGGAAGATTTTATTTGTGACAAAGTAGGGAGCATTGCGGATTTTACGAGGGATTTTAGATTGTAGAGATTGGATAAGAGAGGAATTTGATTGTTTAGTAGAGCCCCAAAGCTCGATCCCGTAAGTCCAAATAGGCATTATTATAGTAATATGTATGAGTCTTTTGTAAATAATTGGAAATTTAGAGAGTTTTTCTAATAAGTGCTACAGTAGTCGAAAACGTCGGGCAGTTCTTGTCGTTTCAGTCTGGTATGGGGGTTTCAAGTGAGTCGTTTGTCCAGTTGGAGTGCTAGGTATCGGATTTGTTCAACAGAGATATGTGGGCTATTGTTGAAGGATACTGAAGGACAGGAAGTCATAAGTTTACGACGAAGAGTAAAGGTAATCTGATGAGATTTATTGGAATTTATTTTAATTCTCCAGTTTTGACACCATTTTCTAAGACTTGTGATGTGTGATTGAAGAGTTAAGGGTGCAATAGATGGATCGTTATTAAATGATAGGATACACTTGTCATCGGCATAGGTGGTGATGACAGTCTTGGTGAATATAAACTAAAATTTCAATAATAGTAAGTTTTAAGAAGACGAAAGTTATAATATTTCTTGGGAGCGAGGGGTGATGCGCGTCCTTTGGATAAGGGGAGGAATGTGTATCTCTTAATATACAGATCCTGAATATATAGTAACTAGTTGATATTGGGTTGGCAAATAGGTCCTTTCGGTTTTTCAAAGTAAACTAAGCTCAATGTATTATAGACATAAAATTTATATTATTCTACAATATATTGACGATTATTTAATATGACTTTTTCCATTACAATAAGTGGTAGTCACTTGGAGCAAGGTCTGGTGCATAGAAAGGGTGGGGCAAAAGGTCCCATATCAAAGGCTCAATAATTTATTGTGAGAGATCAATGAGGTATGGGGCCTAGTGATGTTCTCCAAATTCGATGTTACTAAAGTATTGCTCTTCAAAGCCGTAAGATTTAATGCCTAAGCAAGGAATAAATAAACAAAAACTCCTTATAGGTTTTGATTTTTTTATCTCCATTTGTGGTTTGTTTACGATGATACTGTTGATGTCATTTTGTGTAGTTTATGTGGCCCTAAATTCTGAGAAAATATCTTGTAGATAGCTAATGTCGTATTGAAGTTATAACATTTTTGGTGATTTTCGAAAAAAAAAAAATCATGTGAGGTCCAAACATTATGCCTGGAAACATAGCTGAGCTTGTGCAAATGTTTTTCTACGCTTGTGTGCGACACAATTAGGGCTATAGCAATCTCTCGCACTGATTGGATGGGTTTTTGATCAACAATGGCTTTAACATTGCTCGTTTCAATTTAATGTGAGCAACCAAACCGTTGAGCATAATTTATGTCAAAATTTCCTGAACGAAATTTGGCAAACCAATTAGAACAGGTACGTTCGGTTAAGGCATCATTCCCATAAATACTGCAAATTTTTCTATGAACTTCTGCATTACTCTTACCTTTTTTAAAATAATACAAAAAAAATATGCCGATAAAAATCCGAATCGGATTAGATCGGATAACGATAGAAATAAACAGAAAAACCGAAAGGACTTATTTGCCAACCCAATATATCAGGTTATATGAGATAATTTGTTTGAAATAATTACGAGTTCGCGTCTCGGTGCTTAGAGGTCTTTTAACTCTTTTAGAGGGGCATTAATCCCCCTCTTATCTCTACTGGTCCGAGAAAACCCTCGTATAAAAAAAACAACTGTAGTTAAAAAACAAATGTATTATTTAACTTTTAAAGTAATAAATGATAATAAAATAATTGGAATGAGTAACTGAAATAAATAAAAATAATAGAAATAATTATTGTTAATTATCTATTTTTTTTAATATTATCTATTTTTTTGTTATTACTAATCATTTATACCTTATCAGTTATTACTAAGCCAGTATATTGATTCATCAGATTATTGTAATAATTTCTTTTGTTTTTTATCAATATCAACCACAGTTTATTACCTCTTACCTTTATATTTTTCAAAATTCATAATTGCTTCAGTAATTAATTATAAGTACCTTATTTTTTTTTTACTTCTAGAATATGTTTTAATATCTTTGTACTTGTTTGGCCCTAATGAAGAACAACAATCTGGGTTTGAATATCGGCATTAAATAAATAATAAGCATTAATTTTTTTTACAACCAACTCCCAGACCTTATCCTTCTTGAATTACGGTATACGGTCAACCATTAACGTGATATTCATTGGTCTTACATTGCTTATTTTGGAACAAAATAATGTATAATAATTGCAAAAATGTAATTTTTCCCATTCGTTACTTAAACGATACATACAGATTCTCATGTCTGTATCGTTCTTTTATGCCTATTAATTTTAAACAAGCGACTTATTCAAACAAACAGGTTTGAGTGCTTCTCATGGAGCACTAATAGCCGACAACAAAAACCTATCCAACAAGGCTCTTCGCCTCCCGGAAGGGATCCAACATGTGAACAAACACTACAGAGCTGCCCAACAGAAAACAAACAGTTGTTAGCAAACTCAACAGCTTCTCTCTTGACTGATGATGCGTCCCTCAATGATATTCAATCGTAATATGATTTTGTAAATTGTATCAATTAGACATACTTTGAACTGATTCTTCACTCGTTTTACTCCCCCAACTCAACTTAAGAAATAACCTGTGAAATATCCATAAAATTAATTTCCAGGATATTACTGTAAGTTGTTAAGACAATGACTGTCTTCTAATTCATGAAGTATCTTCCAAAAACCAAGCATTGTAAGACACGAATCCAAATACACGGAAGTAAGTTGGAAAGAACGTCAGGCACAATCAAAGAACCAATTCGATGCAGTTGTGTTATTGGCATTTCCATCTTTAGTAAATCAAAATTATAATGACAGGAAAACAGAAAAAAATAGCAACAATCTCTATTTTTAAGAAAACAAAGAGTTACAAGATAAAAAAATACATGCAGAAAATAATTAAATATTAGCAATTATAATACAATATTAGTAACCAGAAATAATTTTGTTTTACTTCCGTTGAAAGGGTTGCACGACAAATTGTGTTAATGATTAAGCAGGGATTATTCTTGTGTGTTTACTTTGGCAGAATTTAAAGTTAATTCATTTTGCTTATATCACATGGCTGGTTTATTGTCTTATTATTATTTATTTTTTATTTGGGACTTTTCACTACAGTGGTTGTCCTTGACGTAAATATTCTTTAAGATGTGTTTCCATACTATTCAAGGCTTGTTCATTTATGATACCATGGCCCGCCAGGGTTTATTGTCACAACTCATTAAATGAATTGAATAAATATTTTGAATTTTTTTCTCCTTTTAACTTCAGTGTAAGTATTTTTGAAATTGGACTGCTAAAATTCTTCTCGTGTACTGTTTTAGAACATTATGTTTTAATGTTTATGAAGTTTGAATTTGTAGTAGGTTGTGGAATAGGAGTTGTTTGAAGGAGTTTATGGAGATGGATATGGAGTTCCATAAGGAGGTAGCACGAATGACGAAGGATTTACTGAAGGAAGTGGTTTATATATACATGTATTTTTATTAGTATCTTTGTGTATATATATATATATATATATATATATATATATATATATATATATATATATATATATATATATATATATGCTTACAATTTCCTAGGTATTTTTTGTATATATTTATATAAAACTTACATGCCAGACTAAAGTACATATTTTGTAAAGTCTACTATTATTCTAAGGAGACCTCAGTCCCAGAATAAAAATTATTTTTCATTTATTATTTTAAATGAATGTATCAATATTGCGGAGCAAGTAGAAAAAAAACTCGATAACCACTAAAGATACTTTTGTAACTACAATTCATTTTTCATAAAAATGTTTACCCCTCATAATTTTACTTAATTTGGAGGATCTGTAGAGGTGCGCAGAACCTAAAAAAGAACAAAAAAAAAAAACGGGAAAAGTCGCCTAAAAGTGCCAAAATTTTAACGAAATTTACTTAAACTTTTAGTTTGTCGTTCTGATTTGAAAACAACACCACGCTTCGAATTTATGAGCATTTGATTCTGTGGAGTAATGGTGACGAAATGAAACAGAAAAAATATATCGACATCTTCGAGATCCCAAAAATCGTATTGTATGTCTCTCTGATGACTTTGGAAGCAGTGGTTGTGTCAATTATTTCTACAACTAACAATTTTAACGTTAAAAAATTATTTTATCTTTTTTAAAATGCATTTAGATGAAATTAAAGACATTTAAAGAAAAAGATAAACATTTAAATTATTTTACAAACCTTTAGAATGTTAAATAACAATTAGCAGTATAAAAAATTACAATTGGCATCCAATTTATAATACCCAAAATATATTGAATTGAAAAATGTATATTTTATAACAACTAAATGTAATTATGTCATGTTTCAGCATTTACATAAAGAAATATATATTTATATTCATAAATATGTAAAAGATCTTCGTAAATAATACCTTTTAATTTTGTGTTGATGGTTGACTGTAGTGAATAATTGAAAAGAACGATGAATTGAAGTTATGTAAGGAAATAATAAATAGAAATAGAAAATAAATAAAAAATTGAGATCTTGTATATAATATGAAATATTACAATATCTCAATTTTCTATTTATATCTATCCATTTACTTTTATTTATCTATCCATCTACTTCATTTTACTTGAAGTTTTTTTTTTCTAGCTACATTTTTTAGTCTATACCTTTCACCTTTTTAATTTTAATTCTTTATTATTCTATGTTTATAATTTCCCATACCTATTGTTATCTAGTTCTTTGCTTAGACCTAATGAAGGCCTGAACTTCGGGCCGAAATATCGGCAAATGTAAAAGTAAATATTATTATTTATTTTTGCTATTTTTATTTTGACTGATCATATCAACCATCCTTCTCTTCAATAATTCTTTTTACTTTGAAAACTCTAGATCATGAAGTCTATTCTAGG